AGAGAGAGGATATTCAGATCTAGCTTTACTTTCTCTGCAAGCGCTTAGACGTCTTGAGTAAAAGCAGCAGAAGTTGAAGGTCTTTCTTTCCTAAACATTTGGGGCAGGTCTGAGGACATTTTGCAGCAGCCGTCTCCTACCTGCCTTTATAAAATGAACCCCTTAAATGCAGTTGACCTTTGCACTGTAGCCATTATTGATTTGTCAGGTTTCAGCTGAAAAAGATGAAGACCAATGACCATTTCTGAATTTGCAAGGGAGCCCTCCATGCTTAAAATTCCAAGCCGTGGCATTTTCTGGAGTTTTACCTACCCACCCTCAGCAAAGGGAGGAAATAAGCACTGAAACTGTTTCCCCATGGCAAGAAAATCCAAAGAAATCAATCTGCGACTGCAGGGAGTCCTCGACTTACGACCACAATCCAGGCCAGGATTTCTGTTGCTACTTTAAGCAAGGCAGCCGCTACATTAAGTGAGTTGCACCCGATTTTATCAGGGTGGTTGAGCAAATCGCTGCAGTCGTTAAGTGAATCGTGCAGTCATTAAACAAATCTGGCTCCCCCCACTGACTGTGCTTGACGGAACAGAATAGAGTATCTTTATTGTCACTATGTAACTCACAACAAAATTAAATTAACTTTAATTTAATTTAAATTAACGGAAGCCAGCTGGGGAGGTCTCAAACGGGGTTCACATGAGCCCAGGACACTGCAACCGTCAAAAACACACATGCTAGTTGTTAAGTGCCCAAATTCTGACCACGTGACCAAGGGGGATGTTGCATTGGTCGTAAGTGTGAGGACCAGTCTTAAGTCACTTTTTTCAGTAACACTGTAACTTCACTCACTAAAGGAATGGTTGTAAGTCAAGGACTATCCATAATACCATTCATTTAGCGACAGTTAGAAGTTAGAGCTGCATTGAAAAATGTGATTTATGATCATTTTCCACACTTGACAACCACTGCAGCATCACCCTGGTCACGTGATCAAAATTAAGAGAACTTACTCATATTTACGACGGTTGCCGTTTCTCTCGGAGGTCACGTGATCCCCTTTTGAGACCTTCTGACAAGCAAAGTCAATGGGGGAAGCCGGATTCACTTAATAACCAAGTGGCTAATTTAAAAGACTCAGGGATTCACTTAACAACTATGGCAAGAAAAGTCGTAAAATGGGGCAAAAGCCACCTTGCAACTGCCTCACTTAGCAACAGAAATTTTGGGCTCAACTGTGGTCATGAGCTGAAGACTACCTAAGATTTGCCTGTTAATTGTAACTTCCTGTCACAATCGGCCATACCACTAACAACTCCCTCTCTTCCAGGCCCCTCTGTGGGTGGTGGCAGCCATCTTCCCCAGCAAGCAAAAGGGCATCTATCTGAGATATAATGGGTTCATTTCCGAGCTGTTCTCTGCCCTTTTCCTGTCTTATTTTGACACTCTGGCTCTCTGCAACCCACTGCAGGCACGAATCTCTTAAAAAATTTATGGCGCTTGGAGAGCGAGGCCAGGGGGGAACAAACATTGCTCAAGATGCAGAGAGCGACTCAAAATTCAAAGAGAAGTACAGCAAAACGTGTCTACTTGTTTCACCTAAGCCAAAAGAAATTACAATGATCTGCTTTTAACAGAATGGTGGACACCTTACAGCTCATAAAAGGGATGATCCCTGAAAGCGTGGAGCAGACGTCGCCCCTGAAGGCAACACATTTTAGAGGCCCTATCTTTGCAAGACACTATTTGCCATTTTGGAATTTATTTAAGCACCCACCCTTACAAAAGATAAGGAGGAGGAATACACTAAAAGGCAAAAATTTGTTTCCTGCCAATCTAATCAAAAGACTAACATTTTAAAATAAGAAAGGAAGAGAAAAGAAGACAAAAGAAGGAAGGAAGGAAGGAAGGAAGGAAGGAAGGAAGGAAGGAAGGAAGGAAGGAAGGAAGGAAGGAAGGAAGGAAGGAAGGAAGGAAAAAAGGGAAGGGAAGGAGGGGAGAGGAGAAGGGAAGAAGGAATAGAAAAGAGGAAAAGAAAAGGAGAAGACAAAAGAACAGAAGGGGGGTGGGGAGGGGAGGGACTTCCTGCCAACAATTCTACCCCAAAGAATGGTTGAATGTTTCTTGCTTTGACATCCATAGTGGGGGGAAAAATATTGAATTTGCATTAGCAAAACAGAAGCTGAATTTCGTTTTTTTTTGTGCGATTAATTTCTGGAATTGCACCATGTTGCTTAAGCATCCACAAAACAAGGAGAGAAGACACCAGTGTAATTTGCAAAAACAAAGGTTTACCCTATTGCCTTGGTCCAAGTTTTTACCTTTCTACCTCTTCAGACCCATCCATATTCTCTGAAAAGATACACCTGTGGTCCCTTTCCACCTCAGAGGTGACTGCAATTTCAGCGCTGCTAGGTGCATTAGGTTTATGGTGTCCACTGGGATCCTTCAGTGTGAAAGCCGTGCTATAAAAATAAAACAGGATTCAAGAGAAACAGTTGAGGGTTATGTGCTCAGCAGGTGAGAAAGTGGAGAAAGGAAGGGCTCAGCTGCTGAAATCCATTTTGGCCAGAAAACAGAAATGGCAGCCCAGTTCTGCTCAGGGCTGGATGAACAGAATAACAAGAGTTGGGAGGGACCTTGGAGGTCTTCTAGTCCAACCTCCGGCTCGAGCAGGAGACCTTATACCAGGGGTAGTCAACCTTGGCTCTTTTATGACTCGTGGACTTCAACTCCCAGAATTCCTGAGCCAGCTGTGCTGGCTCAGGAATTCTGGGAGTTGAAGTCCACGAGTCATAAAAGAGCCAAGGTTGACTACCCCTGCCTTATACTATTCAAGACAAATGGCTGTCCAGCTTCTTCTTTAAAACCTCCAGTGATGGAGCACCCACAACTTCTGGAGGAGGGCAAGCCATTCCACTGATTAATTGATCTGAGATTAGAGAATAACAGAACAGCAGAATTGGAAGGGACCTTGGAGGTCTTCTAGTCCAACCCCGTGCTCGAGCAAGAGACTCTATATACCATTTCAGACAAATGGCTGTCAAATTTCTTCTTGGAAACCTCCAGTGATGGCGCAACCACAACCTCTGGAAGCAAACAGTTCTACTGATTGTTCTGTCAGGAAATTTCTCCTTATTTTCTAGATTGCTTCTTCCCTTGATAAGGATTAATGAGTGGGGCCCAAAGCACTATCAATAGTGCATTTTTCTAAATCTCAGAGAATGTGGGTGCTTTCGTCCTCAAGAGGATATTTATCTTATTGTTTGTAAGCTGCCCAGAATTGCCTTATTGGTGAGAAGGTGGCATATAAATTTAATACATAATACTAATGAAGTCCCCCAAATCCACAACTCACTCTCTCTCTCTCTCTCTCTCCATTATACAGGCATGTATAAGTCAAATTTCTGAATGCAATTAATTCAACTATGCCTTGAGACAATACAAAGTATTCCTTTGTGTAGTAAAAAATATATATTGGGCACATGCTACCAAGAATACAGGTAGTCCTCGACTTACAACAGTTCATTTAGTGATCATTCAAACTTATGTCACTGAAAAAAGTGACTTACGACTGTTTTTCACATTTACAATCATTGTAGCATCCCTGTGATCACGTGATCGCAATTCAGATGCTTGGCCACCGACTTATATTTATGACGGATGCAGTGTCCCGGGGGGGTCACGTGATCCCCTTTTGCGACCTTCTGACAAGCAAACTCAATGAGGGAAGCCATGTTATTTACAATTTACAACTGTGTTACTAACTTAACTGCAGTGATTCACTTAGCAACTGTGACAAGGTCGTAAAATGGGACAAAACTCACTTAACAAATGTTTCATTTAGCAACAGAAATTTTGGGCTCAATTGTGGTCGTAAGTCAAGGACTCCCTGTATTTTCCTTTCTTATTTGCTTGTCCTCTTGGACTAAAGACCTATGGGTTTTTTTGTTTTAAACATAGGGAAAAAGATAGGGGAGACCCTACATATATAAAAGGAGGCTTTAGAGAAAAATTCATAATAGGCCTATAGAAAAAGCCAAGCGCCTCCAAGCAGGGACCCTCTCTAGAGCTGGATTCAAATTCTTATCAAACAACAGCAGCCCTTTGTCCTTTTCATGTTTGCTTCCGAAGAATTAAAAAAAAAAAAAAAAGCTGCTGAGCCTGTTGTTACAGACACAGTTCCCCAATTCCCAATCTTCCATGTTTGGGGCTTGCTTCCTCAAACCTATTCCCCCCCCCCCCCGAGACCTGGATTTTTTTAAAAAAAAATGTGAATTACAGCTGGCACAGATACACTTGTGGGGGAACATTTTCAATCAAATATCTCTTTCCCACAACCATAGTTCACTCAGAAAGGAGGCAGATGCTTTAAAAGATTCCCCCGGCATGTGCCAGCCATGCTCCCCGACTCACATGGTGCCCTTTGGATCCAGATCAAGGCTCAACGTGTATTATCTCAGTTACTTGCAGCCATCATGCAGAACTTAGAATAGGAATGGGTTATTTGCCCAGGGGGGGCTACATAAGAAACTGTGGTTGTTTTGGAGGGCAGAACCATTAGGGCTGTGAAGGTGCATAGGAACACGCACAAGCGTGCGCGCACACACACAGAGACACATGTGTAAATTGAAAAAGGGAAAGCAGTTGCCTAGAAAATAAATGCAATCCACGCAGACTGGATTTATGGCCAAAGGGCCATAAAATGCCCAGGTCTGACTTAGAATCACAGGGCTGGAAGGGACCTTGGGGGTCTTCTAATCCAACCCCCTGCTCAAGGCAGGAAATCTTATTTTTCCTCCTCCTTGGTGGTTTTCTAGTCCAACCTCCTGCCTGAGCAGTGAACTTAGTCCTTCCTTCTCCATTTAAGAAACCTTGAAGATCTTCTAGTCCAACCCTCTGTTCAAGGCAGGAGACACCGGCTTTTCCTTCTCCATCTAAGGGTCCTTGGAGGTCTTCTAGTCTGACCTCCTGGCCAGAGCAGGAGACCTTAGTGTTCCCTAAGGATAACTTTTTTGGCTTTAACCAAATACTATTATAGAAACCTCTGATGTCTTCTGAGCACGGAGACGAGACCCAAATAGGCAATACAGCTCAAAATACAGAAATTACAGGAGGAGGTTATTCTGAAAAAAAGGGTTAATAAAGCAGCAAACGTTCTCTTAAGGAAAGGAAACACCCCCCCCCCAAAAACCCCAGACCGAATGCATCCCCAAATCCAAGGATTTAAGTTGGGGGGGCAGGCCGAGGGTCTCCCCTTGTCCACACTGCACGCCCCCCCTCAAAAAAAGCCAGGCTCGGCTGCTTCAGGTGCTGCAAAGGGGAGAAACAAAAAGCCTAGAAAAAGGAAAAACAGACAAATAAAGCTCATTGGGAGAAGACCCCCCCCCATTTCACCTGCCCACCCACACTCCGAAAGGGAAGCTGGAGGGGCTCGTCCACATGGTAGAAGGGGAATTGGGGGGTCAGAAGCCGCCCAGGTCCCTCCATAAGCCCCCCCCCAAAGCTTTTCGTGAGGAAACTGCAACCCCCCCTCACCATGGTCTCCGGGGGGGGGAAGAGGAGGAAGGGGGTCGTGGGGTTGGGGACACCCTCCCTCCATGGAGAAAAACACCCCCTCCCTTTCCTGGGCGAGCCCCCCCAAAAGCCGGAAAGCGGCCTTCCCGCCCGCTTTGTTTCCCCCCGGCCTCGGCTCGCCAGGGCCGGCCGCCGCTCTCACGCGAGGCCGGGGATGCGCGGCCTACTCGGGCCCGCGGTTCCGCTTCTCCCTCCTCCGCCTCAGA